CTACGTTGTTTAAATGCTTGTCTTTTGAACATTCAGATTAAAACATTAATGTTAAGAAGAAAGATACTGTTTGCCTCCATAGTGACATGACTTTTGCATTAAAATTCATCCCTTTGGAAGAGTTGAGTAGCTGACACAGGTCCTGAACTTTGTGATCTCGGATCAGTATCTGTGAGGACTGAGCAGTGGGCGGCTGCTCTTCAACGTGCTCACAGTGATGGAGGAGCCTGAAGAGGCAGGGCGGGCCAAGCCCAGCTCAAGGTCTAGGAGTGACTCAGAGATGCTTCAAGACTGAGCCTCACTGTGGGCCTTTTGGTCAGCACCACCCTGCAGGAGGGAGCTGTAGACAGAGCACAGCCCTGGGCCACCTGCACTGACACAAGTAAAATCCACCTCCCGAGTGCACCAGTAGGTTCAGCGGCAGTTCCGGTATGGCACGCGCACAGTGGACGACAAGGTGGGAAATCTCAGCAATGAAGTGACCACTGCAGGAAAAAGCGCCATTGAGTTGAGATCCTGGGACGTCCTCTCTTATTCCTCATGACTATTTCGGAGGAAAGCGGACTGCCTTTCTCACTGCCCTGACCATGCAAGGACCTGAGCTCTGAGGATGTGAGGAGATCTGAACTGTCCTGAATGCAGGTCCTCAGCCTGGTCACCTCCTCGCAGGCAGACACTTCATCCTCAGGACATGGAATACTTCAGGATGAGCCATGGAATGGGCCAAGGAGGGTCACCCAGCTGTGCACAGCTCAGGAGCTCAGAACACACCGAATCTGGGCACAAGGGACCCACGTGACCTCCTCTCAGGTCTGCATTTGTCATAAGCTCAAAGGGGGGATTAGGATGTTCTGTGCATCCAGCCCGGGCTGGCAACTGCTGCTGAGCCTTGAGAGGCCTCTTCTCTCCTGGTTCCCTGGGCCTGACCCTAATGGTTAAGAGAGCCAGATCACACAAGGCTGAGGGGGATTTAGTCCCAGTTCAAAACCCAAGTCCAGCAGCTTGAAAACATGCCAAGCACGTGTGTGTGTGCACACAAAATCCTGACAAAAGGGGGAACACAATCTGTGGTTCAGAAAGGAAAGACGAGGGCACCCCCACCATGGCCTGGATCCTTCTCTTCCTCACCCTCATCTCTTTACACGGGACTGGAAACAGGCATCAGGGGCTGGGCCTGGGAGATCCTGGCTCTGTCCTGGTCATGCCACACCTGACTCCCTCTCTTACTCTTTGGCCCTGTGATGGGTCAGGGCTGAGGCCGGAGCCTGCACAGCGAGGGTCTGAGGCTGAGCAGTCACCATTTCCTGCACTGGAAGAAGCACCAGCTGCCAATGTGAGTCCTGGGATGGTGTCCTGGTACAAACGGTGGCCTGGCAGGACCCTTAACCTTTTAGGTATCAGAAGAAAATATCAGCCTTCAGGCGTTCAGGCCTGGTTTGGGGGCTGCCAGGCTTGGCCCCCACTCTTCCCTGCATCTTTGGCTCCAGCCTGAGCTTGAGGCTAATTGGGACTATTGGTCTTACACATCCCTGTGAGGGCCCCCAGGGCTACCGCCTGTGGGGAAGAAGGCAGGGACAGGGGCCTCCTTTCCCTGTGGCCTGCCTGCAGCACCTGCCACCCACGGCCAGGATTGTCCCTGACTAGGGCCCAGAACTCAGGCCAGGGACAGTGATCCAGAGAAGGCAGCTTTGTCCTCCAGAGCCAGCCCTCAAGGGAGCCTGTGACATCAACACATCACATCGTCACCCTAAATGAGCAGAAATTCCTCAGTGACAGGGCTAGAGGGACAGAGTCCATGAAAGGCCAGGCCAGGAGGACAGGGACAGAGGACCACAGGGGCTGACTCAAGGATGCCCACAAGTATTTGGGGCACAGGTATTTC